GACAGTTTCACAGATCGCAACCCCCCCAGAGATGGCGAGGTCTAATTTGAATCCGCGCGTGGCCCTCACTGTGCTGGGCCCCCCAGCAGGCCTCGAAAATGGCGACAGTTTCACAGATCGCAGCCCCCCAGGGATGGCGAGGTCTCGTTTGAATCTGCCCGTGGCGTCACTGTGCTGGGCCCCCCAGCAGGCCTCGAAAGTGGCGACAGTTTCACAGATCGCACCCCCCCAGGGATGGCGAGGTCTCATTTGAATCTGCCCGTGGCCCTCACTGTGCTGGGCCCTCCAGCAGGCCTCGAAAATGGCGACAGTTTCACAGATCGCTCCCCCCCAGGGATGGCGAGGTCTAATTTGAATCTGCCCGTGGCGTCACTGTGCTGGGCCCCCCAGCAGGCCTCGAAAATGGCGACAGTTTCACAGATCGCAGCCCCCCAGGGATGGCGAGGTCTAATTTGAATCTGCCCGTGGCCCTCACTGTGCTGGGCCCCCCAGCAGGCCTCGAAAATGGCGACAGTTTCACAGATCGCAGCCCCCCAGGGATGGCGAGGTCTAATTTGAATCCGCGCGTGGCCCTCACTGTGCTGGGCCCCCCAGCAGGCCTCGAAAATGGCGACAGTTTCACAGATCGCAGCCCCCCAGGGATGGCGAGGTCTAATTTGAATCCGCCCGTGGCCCTCACTGTGCTGGGCCCCCCAGCAGGCCTCGAAAATGGCGACAGTTTCACAGATCGCAGCCCCCCAGGGATGGCGAGGTCTAATTTGAATCTGCCCGTGGCCCTCACTGTGCTGGGCCCCCCAGCAGGCCTCGAAAATGGCGACAGTTTCACAGATCGCAGCCCCCCAGGGATGGCGAGGTCTAATTTGAATCTGCCCGTGGCCCTCACTGTGCTGGGCCCCCCAGCAGGCCTCGAAAATGGCGACAGTTTCACAGATCGCAGCCCCCCAGGGATGGCGAGGTCTAATTTGAATCTGCCGTGGCCCTCACTGTGCTGGGCCCCCCAGCAGGCCTCGAAAATGGCGACAGTTTCGCAGATCGCAGCCCCCCAGGGATGGCGAGGTCTAATTTGAATCCGCGCGTGGCCCTCACTGTGCTGGGCCCCCCAGCAGGCCTCGAAAATGGCGACAGTTTCACAGATCGCAGCCCCCCAGGGATGGCGAGGTCTAATTTGAATCTGCGCGTGGCCCTCACTGTGCTGGGCCCCCCAGCAGGCCTCGAAAATGGCGACAGTTTCGCAGATCGCAGCCCCCCAGGGATGGCGAGGTCTAATTTGAATCTGCGCGTGGCCCTCACTGTGCTGGGCCCCCCAGCAGGCCTCGAAAATGGCGACAGTTTCACAGATCGCAGCCCCCCGCAGGCAAGACAGGAAGAGGCAGGAAAGAGGCGGGAGGCGGGAGGAGGAAGGACGCGACCACACTGCTCTATTCAAAACGAATACCCAACCAAGGAGGGTTGGGACAAAGAACCGTAAACGCAATAGTTGTGGCAGTAGTTGGAGTAGGAGTGGTAGTAGTAGTGACAGAACTAGAGAAAGCATAAGTAGTAGTAGTTCCACTGCAACTACTAGCTGTACCAGTGGTATGAGAAGTCGTAGTTGTAGTTATCGTGCTGGTCGTAGTGGTAGTAGTAGTAGCAGTAGTAGTAGTTGTAGTAGTAGTAGTAGTAGTAGTAGTAGTAGTAGTAGTAGTGGTCATAGTAGTAGTAGTAGTAGTAGTAGTAGTAGTAGTAGTAGTAGTAGTAGTACTCATACTAGTCGTAGTAGTAATAGTAGTAGTAGTAGTAGTGGTAGTAGTAGCAGCAGTAGTAGTAGTAGTAGTAACCGGAGTAACCGTGGTAGCCGTAGAAGTAGCAATAGTAGTAGTAGTAGTCGTACTCGTAGTCATAGTAGTCGTCGTGGTAGCAGTAGTCGTAAACCTAGTCGTGGTGGTCGTAGCAGATGTAGTCGCAGTAGTAGTAGCAGTCGTAGTAGTAGTAGTAGAAGTAGTAGCAGCAGTAGTAGTATAGTAGTGGTAGCAAGTAGTAGTAGAAGTAGTAGTGGTAGTAGTGTAGTAGTAGTAGTAGTAGTAGTAGTAGTAGTAGTAGTAGTAGTAGTAGTAGTAGTAGTAGAAGTAGTAGTAGTAGTAGTAGTAGTAGTAGTAGTAGTAGTAGTAGTAGTAGTAGTAGTAGTAGTAGTAGTAGTAGTAGTAGTAGTAGTAGTAGTAGTAGTAGTAGTAGTAGTAGTAGTAGTAGTAGTAGTCGTAGTAGTAGTAGTAGCAGTAGTAGTAGTAGTAGTAGTAGTAGTAGCAGCAGTAGTAGTAGTAGTAGTAGTAGTGGAAGTCGTAGTAGCAACAGTTGTAGCAGTTGTAGTAGTAGTAGTAGCAGTAGTCGTTGTAGTAATCGCGGTAGTAGTTCTAGTAGTCGTAGTAGTCGTAGTAGCCGTAGTAGTTGTAGCAGGGGCAATAAGAAACGTAGAACTAGTAGTAGTAGTAGTAGTATCAGTAATAGTACCAGTAGTAGTAGTATAAGTAGTAGTAGCAGTAGTAGTAGTAGTAGTAGTAGAAGTAGTAGTAGTAGTCGTAGTAGTACGTTTGGAGTTCCCGAGGGGGGACCACCCTTCTTTCAAGCTCATCGCTTGTTTGATCCACGTCCTCCAAGATGGCCCCAAGAGCGCTCCTAAGGCTATGCCTCAAAGAGGCGCCCAACATGCCCCCAAGAAGCTTCCAGACGATCCCCGAGGCACCCAAGACGCTCAAAGACGGTCATGGGCTCGCCAAGATGCCCCTTTTACTGCTCCTCCTCCTCCTCCTCCTCCTCCTCCTCCTCCTCACCTCCTCCCCCTTGTCCACTGTCTCTTCCTCCTTCCTCCTCGTCGACCTCCTCCTTCTCCTCCTCCTTCTTCTCCTCCACCATCCTCCCTCTCTTGGGGCATCGGACGGCTTACCCCGACTTTTGTTCTTCTGCATGCTCTTTCACGTGCCTGATCACCTCAACTGCCAAGCTGCGCCTTAAAGCTGCCAAGGAGCGCTCTAAAAGCTGCAAAGGACCCCCTTTAAACCTGCCAAGGAGCGCCATAAAAGCTGCCAAGGAGCGCCTGCAACAGCTGCCGAGGAGAGCCTGAAACGCTGCTGAGCGGCGCATTAAAAGCTGCTGAGGAGTGCTTGGAAAAAAACTATAAGGTATAACATTTCGAAACGTCACGATCTTCAGAACCTACAACCGGGGAGTGGACCAGGTCCCTGGGAAATGGACTAGTTTACCGGGGAACAATTTTTATCGAGGGAAGGGGGGGGGGGGGGGCGAGGCCTGCTGGCGCGCGCGGGTGATACAGCACGGTGCCGCACAGAAGCGTCAGTAAGACTTGAGATACAGCCAAGCGTTGCTTCCCGGCGACGCGAGCAAACGAGGCCAAATGCCGAACCGCAGGGTGCCGACGAGGGAATGATGACGACGCAAGATGACGACGATGAACACATCAAACATGCACATACATTTTCGGGGGACAGAATGCCCGTCTGGGCTCGACCGTGCCAAAGGCAATCCATTCTGGAGTCTCGAGGGCACGTTGCGATACGCCGCAAAGGCAGCCACAAATTTTCTTGGCTTCTGCCCGAGGCCCTGCAAGATCCCCTTATTGGAAATACATCTGTCCCAAACGAAGCCCTCACGATTGTCGCACACCGGCCTGGAAATCTTCGGCGCTCGACCCGCGAGGGATGCTCACTAGAACATGCTTGCACGCGACGCGAAGCGAAGCGAAGCTGCCGTCGCGGGCAGGGCAGGCGTCCCTTCAAGGGAGGCGAGCGCGCCGGTAGCGCGCTGGCCCTGTAAGAGGACTGGGAACAGGCTGCGACATGAGCATGATGAGTCGGTCCGCCTGTGGATCAGAGGGAGACAGAGGAAGCAGGAGAAAGGCAAACGAATCAACTTGGGCGACCCAAAAGGGGGTCCACCTGAAAGGGGGTGGTGCAAAATATTTGGGGCAATTGTATTGTAAATGCATTGCGCCGGATGAATGTATTGCACTCTGCTGCAAATAATGTGTTGCACGCGAAAATCCAGCAATACATGTGCGCCCCGAGATCTACTGCACGCCCCAAATGCGTTGCACAACCTCACAAATCCAGTGCACCAAATCTGCTGCACCACCCCCTCGACGCTGGACCCCCTCTTGGGTCGACCCGAGACCCATCACCGCCGCAAGAACATGCACGCACGCGCTCCCGCATGCGGGCCCAGGCTTCGAGCCGGGTCGACACAGGGGGTGGGTACGGGGCGGCCAGGCCGCCAAACAGGAACGGCCGCCCGAGACGTCCCCACCATCCGGGCACGAACGGGCCCCCGATTATACACTCTGGCGCCCTCTCTCCCCCCCCCTGGGTTGCCGAGGAGGGGGAGGAGGAGGGGCGGAGGAGGAGGAGGAGGAGGAGGAGGAGGCGGAGGAGGAGGAGGAGGAGAGGGAGGAGGAGGAGGAGAGGGGAGGTGAGGGGAGGAGGACGAGGAGAGGGCGGAGGAGAGGGAGGGGAGAGGAGGAGGGAGGGAGGAGGAGGAGGAGGAGGGAGGAGGAGAAGGAGGAGGAGGAGGAGGGGAGGAGGAGGAGGAGAGGGGGTGAGGAGGAGGAGGGGGAGGAGGAGAAGGGAGGAGGAGAGGAGGAGGAGGATGAGGAGGGAAGGAGGATGGAGGAGGAGGAGAGGAGGAGTGGAGGGAGGAGGAGGAGGAGGAGGAGGAGAGGAGGAGGAGGAGGAGGGGGAGGAGGGGAGGAGGAGGAGGAGGAGGAAGGAGGAGGAGGAGGAGGAGAGTGAGGAGGAGGAGGAGGAGGAGGAGGAGGAGGAGGAGGAGGAGCATGTCTGGGTCCCCACTCTACCCTTTGACATTCTCACCATCTGTTTTGAAAGCACCGAGAAGTCCAGCCAAAAGGCACGTAAACCGCCTGAGACAGCCCACATTCTATGCGAGCGGGCCGCGAAACACTCCCATGGCGGCTCCCCCCTTGGGTTGCGCAAGCCAGCGCCTCGCTCGAGAGATTCTCACACTCTGTCTAAACTACCAGACAAGTCAACCGCCTGAGACATCCCCACAATCTGAGAGCGAAAATGCCCGCGAAATCCCACCAGCCCTCTGGGCGTAGGTGGTCTAGGGCGTTTCCTGTTCCAACCCCCTTCTTCCTCTTCGGGGAGAGGTCTACCTCTCCCCCTACCTGGACGGGGGGCTTCGCGAGCGGTCAGGGCGTCCACCATGGCCCAAGACGACTCCAAGAGGGCCTCAGAGAGCACAGGATGGCCTCCAAGATGGATCAAGACAGCGCAAGATGCCTCAATATGGCTTCCAACATGCTCCAAGATGCCCCAATCAAGTTCCAAGACGGCTCCAAGTGGCCAACGAGCTCCCCAAGGAAGCCCCGAAGAGGCCCACACCCTTCCAACACCAAAGATTATCCCAGCGCGACCCTACCTAGGAGTTGGAGCATTTTGGAAAGCCACATCTACATCTACACCGACAGCTACAATTACATCTACACCTGCATCTGCATCTACATCTACATCAACATCAACAGCGAGACTCACATCTACATCTACATATACACCTACACCTACATCTACACATACATCTTAACCTACATCCACATCTACACCTACACCTACAGCCACATATACATCTACATGGCTTGGCTGTTGATTTGCATTGCCTTTGAGTTTGCTCTGAGTTGCTTTGCGTTGCGTATGCTTTGCTTTGCTGTTGCTGCTGTTGCGTTGCCTTTGCGTTGCTGATATGCGATGTTATGCGATGCTACGCTATGCTATGCTGCACTATGCTATGCTATGCTATGCTATGCTATGCTATGCTGCGCGATACGATGCTACGCTAGACTGCGCTATGTTGTGCTAGACTATGGTATGCTATGCTATGCTGCGCTATGCAATGCTGCGCTATGCTGTGCTATGCTATGCTATACTGCGCTATGCTATGCTATGATATGCTTTACTATGCTATGCTATGCTATGCTGCGCTATGCTATGAATTGCTGGGCTATGCTAGGATATGAGGTGCTGCGCTATGATATGCTATGCTATACTGTGCTCTGCTATGCTAAAACTCAGCGAAGCTAAGATGAAGGTAAGCTAAGCTAATATATACCTGATCTAAGATGAAGCTAAGCTAAACTAAGATGAAATAAGCTGAGCTAAGATGAGATAAGCACCGCTAAGCTAAGAGGACGTAACTGGGGGAACCGTGGGGCGGATACCAGGGGAACCGCCCGGGGCGAGCCCCACTGCCCGGCCCATTTAAGCCCAGAGAGTAAGAACCCTTCTAGGCAGAGCCTAGGTAGGGAACAAATCAATGTGTGTTGCTTTCTCGCCCTTTCGCTTCTGATGGCCATCCGAGGCTTCAAGATGGCTCCAAGAGAACCCAAAAATGGCCCCAAGAGAGGCTCAAGAGAGCCCCAAGACGGCCCCCATGGCGCCCAAGAGCGCTACAATAGCACCCTAAGAGGCGATGTTTGGGGCTCCCGAGGGGGGGGTGCCAATTGGAGCTTACCTCTTGTTTGATCATTGGCCTCCAAGGTGGCCCCAAGAGGCGCCCAGGTCCCAAGAGGCGTCAAAATGGCCCCAAGCTGGCCCCAAGAGGCCCCCCAGAGGACCTCAAGCGGCCCCAAGAGGCCCCCCCCGAGGCACCAAGACGCCCAAGAGCCCCCCAGGATCGCCAAGAGACCCCCAAGACGCCCCAAGAGGCTTCCAAGAAGCGCCCAAGAGACATCCTAAGAGGCTCCGAGAGGCATCCAAGAAACCTCTGGCCCTTTTGCTTGCCCTCCCCCTCCTGCTCCTGCTCCAGCTCCTGCTCCTGCTCCTGCTCCTCCTCCTCCTCTTCCTCCTCCTCCGACGACGACGACGATTCCTCCTCCATCTTTTGGGTTGGTGGGGATACTTTTCCGTCGCAGCTGCAGGCGAAGGCGCCGGCGGCGTCAAAGGTCAACCCGGGCTACGGGCGAAGCCAAATTACGGCTGGTGGGGATACATTTTGGTCAACAGGCTCGCGAGGCGGGTCGAAAGCCGTCCGAACACTAGTCGGGCCGCGACTAGGCAGCAGGAAAAGGAAGGCAAGCGAAGCGAGCGAGCGGGTAGCCACTCAGAAGGAGAGCTAGAACCGATACTCCCCAACCTGGTGGCGCTGGAAATCCCAGTGGCGACCAGCAAGTAAGCGCAGCCAAAATGGCGCGGCGGCGCGACCATAAACACGCAGAGGTCGATCGCTCGGTGTGAGTCAGGCAAACAGCACCGTCAAAGACGAACTAGACCGACAGGCACACCCAGACGACATCGGTGAATTGGGCGACACAAATGCCAAAACATCGGCTGGTGGGGATACGCGAAACGTCAACAATTTCCCCTGGCGGCTCCCGCTTGGGGTGCTGAAAGTGGCGCCTCACTCGAGGCATCCTCACAAGTTGAGTGGGGCAAGCCTCAGCGTGAGTGGTCTGTGTGAGTGAGATTGAGCGTGAGTGAGTCTGAGTGTGCACGAGCCTGTGAGTCAGAAAATTAGAGTATCTGAGTCTGAGTGCATATGAGTCTACGTGTATCTGAGTATGAGCGTATCTGGGCATGAATGACCCAGTGCGTTGAATCTGAGCGTGACTGAGTCTGAATCCAAAGAGGCAACAAACGTCAGGCTGACCTCGTGAGATAAAGAGTCTTTGACAATTCTCAAGCGGCGCGCCGCGCGTTCCATGCGCCGAGACTTGAAAAATTGAGCGGCGCACATTGCGTAGCAGACCACGCAGCTGATCAATGCAATGATGACAATGGAGTCGATGGATTGGTAAGCACTCTTGGACATGGTATTCTCGGTGCTGTTCGCAGCCGTTGCCGTATCAAAGAACATGGATGATCATTGATGTTCCTTCGGATTTCGACGTATTTGAGCGTTATCGCCTTTTCGGCTTCCCGACTCTCCAATACGGCTTCAGAAGACCACAAGATCGGCCCGGGACGGCCCAAGAGGCCTCCAAGACGGCCCCCAGACCGCACCAGAGGGCCCGAATACGTCCCAAGATGCCTCCAAGACGGCCCAAGAGGCGCCCAAACAGCTCCAAGTTGAGACCAGACGGGGGACTCGAAAGGACACTTCGAGCCCTCGGCCCCGAGAGGCCCCCAGGAGGCCTCAAGAGTCTTCAAGAAGCTCACAGGATAACCCCCTAGAGGCCCCTACGAGGCCCCCACGCGGCCCGAAGAAGCCCCCAAGAGGCCCAAAAGAGGCCCACAAGAGGCCCCAAGAGGCCTGAGAACTGCCTCTAGGAGGCCCCCAAAGGCCTCCCAAGAGATCCACGCGAACATCCAAGAGGCTTCCAAGCACTGGCGGGGTGGGTCGAAGGCCATTAGACCTGCTTGGCACGGGGACGGAAAACGCACTTACTTTTAGAGCGCACGGGATCGCTGGCCCGTCCGCTCTAACACCTCTTATTGACTCCCTTCGCCTCGCATTTGTCCTATCTCAGCCTCGGAGTCGCGGAGCTTTCTTTGAGCGCGTTTCTTGTTTTGGAGGGGGCGGTCGGGTCGCGTTGCGTTTTCCGCGTTTGAGCTGCCAGCTTTCCAGAACCCCGCGTTGTCCTTGCGTGGACCGCTCGTTGTCCACGCGTTGCCGCCCGTCCCTGTGCCCTGGCTGCAAGAACTTATTACGCCGCAGCTCTCTGTTGGGAGCTTTGGTCTTATCAGCTCGATTACGTCACCGCTCGCTCTTGGGAGCCGCGGTGCTAAGAGCCTTTGGTAGTATTATGGGCCTCTTGGGGGGCTCTTGGGGAGCCTCTTGGGTGCGTATTGGGGACCTTTTGGGTTTCTCGGGGGCCTCTTGGGGCCCCCTGGGGGCCTCTAGGTGGCGGGGGTGAAGGGACTAGGCTGCATTTGGCCGTCTTTGCGCTCTCTTGGGGGCCTTTTGGGGCCGTCTTGGGGCCGTCGTGGGCCGTCTTGGCGCCCTCTTGGCGCCCTCGTGGGCTGTTTTTGGGCCCTCTTGGGGGGCTTTTGGGCATTCTTGGGGCGCTCTTGGGGACCTCTTGGACAATCTTGGGCGCCTCTTGGCCCGTCTTGGCGCCCTCTTGGGATAGTTTGGGGGCCTCTTGGGAACATCTTGGGCCGTTTGGGGGCGGTCTTGGGGGCCTCTTGGACTTTTTCCCAACCATCCTGTGGTGTTGGGTCCTCGTTTTGAAGAGTTGTGCCGCGCGTTCCTCTCCTCCCCCTCTCCTCCTCCTCCTCATCCTCCTCCCCGCCCTCCTCCCCCCAGGGTTCGCATGCCTCCCCGCCACTCATTTCGGCACACCCCTCACACGTTTCGTGGCCCCATAGGGAGCTCCACCGAAAGCCCCAGTGGCAGGGTTCGCATGCCTCCCCACCACCCATCTCGGCACACCCCTCACACGTTTCGTGGCCCCATAGGGAGCTCCACCGAAGGCCCCAGTGGCAGGGTTCGCATGCCTCCCCACCACCATTTCGGCACACCCCTCACACGTTTCGTGGCCCCATAGGAGCTCCACGAAGGCACCAGTGGCAAGTTCGCATGCCTCCCCACCACCCATTTCGGCACACCCCTCACCGTTTCGTGGCCCCATAGGGAGCTCCACCGAAGGCCCCAGTGGCAGGGTTCGCATGCTCCCCACCACCCACCCATTTCGGCACACAGGTCACACGTTCGTGGCCCCATAGGGAGCCCACCGAAGGCCTTCGCATGCCTCCCCCCACCATCTCGGCACACCCCTCACACGTTTCGTGGCCCCATAGGGAGCTCCACCGAAGGCCCCAGTGGCAGGGTTCGCATGCCCCCCCACCACCCATCTTGGCACACCCCTCAGACGCTTAGTGGCCACATAGGGTCCCAATTGTAGGGTTCGCATGCCTCCTCACTACCCATTTCGGCACCCCCCTCACACGCTTCGTGGCCCCATAGGGAGCTCCACCGAAGGCCACTGGTGGCAGGGTTCGCATGCCTCCCACCCCATTTCGCACACCCCTCACAGTTTCGTGGCCCCATAGGGGGCTTCCAAGTAGGCCCAGTGGCCAAGGGTCGTGCTGACCCCCCCCCCCCCCCCCCCCCACCACCCCCCCCCCCCACACAACCACCTGCCATGTCGGCACCCACCCACACGTTTCGTGGCCCCATAGGGAGCTCCAACCGAAGGCCCCAGTGGCAGGGTTCGCATGCCTACCCACCACACATTTCGGCACACCCTCACACGCTTCGTGGCACATAGGGAGCTTCACCGAAGGCCCAGTCGTCCAGGGTTCGCAGGCCCCTCCACCACCCATCTTCGACACACCCCTAACACGTTTCGTGGCCCCATATGGAGCTCACCGAAGGCCCAGTTGGCAGGGTTCGCATGCCCCCCCCCCTATCACCCATCTTGGCACACCCCTCACACGCTTCGTGGCCCCATAGGGTCCAATGGCAGGGTTCGCATGCCTCCCCACCACCCATTTCGGCACACCCCTCACACGTTTCGTGGCCCCATAGGGAGCTCCACCGAAGGCCCCAGTGGCTGCGTTCGCATGCCTCCCCACCACCCATTTCGGCACACCCCTCACACGTTTCGTGGCCCCATAGGGAGCTCCACCGAAAGGCCCCAGTGGCAGGGTCCGCATGCCTCCCCACCACCCATTTCGGCACACCGTTCACACGTTTCGTGGCCCCAGGGGGAGCTCCACCGAAGGCCCATGGCCAGGGGCGCATGCCTCCCCACCCACCCATTTCGGCACACCCCTCACACGTTTCGTGGCCCCATAGGCAGCTCCACCGAAGGCCCCAGTGGCTGCGTTCGCATGCCACCCCACCACCCATTTCGGCACACCCCTCACACGTTTCGTGGCCCCATAGGGAGCTCCACCGAAGGCCCCAGTGGCAGGGTTCGCATGCCTCCCCACCACCCATGTCGGCACACCCCTCACACGTTTCGTGGCCCCATAGGGAGCTCCACCGAAGGCCCCAGTGGCCAGGGTTCGATGCCTCCCCACCACAACATTTCGGCACACCCCTCACACGTTTCGTGGCCCCATAGGGAGCTCCACCGAAGGCACCAGTGGCGCGGTGCCTATGGCAAGGGGGGCCTAGTTTGCGTGCCCCCTCCTTCGTCTCATAGCCGCGCGGTACTCGCAGCTGCATATGGTTGGGCCCTTCGCCAGGCTATTGTTTGGTTTTCCCAACCATCCTGTGGTGTTGGGTCCTCGTGTTGAAGAGACGGCGCACCGCGTTCCTCACCTCCTCCTCCTCCCCCCCCCCTCCCATCATCATCATCATCATCACCACCGCCCATGTCGGCACACCCCTCACACGTTTCGTGGCCCCATAGGGAGCTCCACCGAAGGCCCCAGTGGCAGGGTTCGCATGCCTCCCCACCACCCATTTCGGCACACCCCTCACACGTTTCGTGGCCCCATAGGGAGCTCCACCGAAGGGCCCAGTGGCAGGGTTTGCATGCCTCCCACCACCCATTTTCGGCACACCCTCACCACGCTTCGTGGCCCCACATTAGGTGGAGCTCCACCGAAGGCCCCAGTGGCAAGGTTCCGCAGGCCTCCCCACCCCCCCACCACCCATTTCGGCACACCCCTCACACGTTTCGTGGCCCCATAGGGAGCTCCACCGAAGGCCCCAGTGGCAGGGTTCGCATGCCTCACCACCACCAATTTCGGCACACCCCTCACACGTTTCGTGGCTCCATAGGGAGCCCCACCGAAGGCCCCAGTGGCAGGGTTCGCATGCCTCCCCATCACTCATTTCGGCACACCCCTCACACGCTTCGTGGCCCCATAGGGAGCTCCACCGAAGGCCCCAGTGGCAAGGTTCGCATGCTTCCCGACCACCCATTTCGGCACACCCCTCACACGTTTTGTGGCCCCATAGGGAGCTCCACCGAAGGCGCCAGTGGCAGGGTTCGCATGCTTCCCCACCACACATTTCGGCACACCCCTCACACGCTTCGTGGCCCCATAGGGAGCTCCACCGAAGGCCCCAGTGGCAACGTTCGCATGCCGCCCCACCACACATTTCGGCACACCCCTCACACGCTTCGCGGCCCCATAGAGAGCTCCACCGAAGGCCCCAGTGGCAGGGTTCGCATGCCTCCCCGCCACTCATTTCGGCACACCCCTCACACGTTTCGTGGCCCCATAGGGAGCTCCACCGAAGGCCCCAGTGGCAGGGTTCGCATGCCTCCCCACCACACATTTCGGCACACCCCTCACACGCTTCGTGGCCCCATAGGGGGCTCCACCGAAGGCCCCAGTGGCAGGGTTCGCATGCCTCCCCACCACCAATTTCGGCACACCCCTCACACGCTTCGTGGCCCCATAGGGAGCTCCACCGAAGGCCCCAGTTGCAGGGTCCGCATGCCTCCCCGCCACCCATTTCGGCACACCCCTCACACGCTTCGTGGCCCCATAGGGAGCTCCGCCGAAGGCCCCAGTGGCATGGTTCGTATATGCCTCCTCAACACCCATGTCGGCACATCCCTCGCACGCTTCGTGGCCCCATGGGGATTTCCACTGAAGGCCCCAGTAACTGGGTGCGCATGCGCCCCCACACCCATTTCGACACACCCCTCGCACGCTTCGTGGCACCATAGGGAGCTCCACCGAAGGCCCCAGCGGCTGCGTTCGCATGCCGCCCCCACGCCAATTTCGGCACACCCCTCACACGCTTCGTGGCCCCACAAGGAGCTCGACCGAAGGCCCCAGCGGCTGCGTTCGCATGCCGCCCCCACACCAACTTCGGTTCACCACTCACACGCTTCGCGGCCCCATAGGGAGCCCCACCGAAGGCCCCAGTGGCAGCGTTCGCATGCCGCCCCCACACCCATTTCGGCACACCCCTCAAACGGTTCGTGGCCCCATAGGGAGATC